TGATCATCCGTGGCTGAATTTCCAGAAACATCTATTCAGATCCTACGTGCTTCTGAGCCTCTGCTGCCCACTCGGCTGGAGCCATATGCTCTCCTTTGACGAATGCAGGCTCATTTTCACCTTGGTCTCAATAACAAAATGAGACTTCAGGCAAGGGGTGCTGCTTAGGCTCCACCTGAGCCATGAAAGCTTCATTCAGAATGGAGTCTTCCTCACTGTTAGCCAAGACTTGAGGTTTCTGGTCGGTGCCTGGGTACCATCTCTGGTACCTGCTACCTTCAGTGGTTCGTAGTCCCTTCCCTGACTCCTCCAGCCACCAGACCAGAGGCCCAGCTACCAGCTGCTAGCCTCCTAGAACATCTGCTGGCCTGAGCACTCATTTCTGGCTTGCCCCTGGTTGGTTTGGATCCCGAAGCATGACAAGCAGGAACCACTGTTGACAGACTTCTCTGAGCTCTCTGCCTGAAAAGCTGGGCTATGCTCCAGAAATAGCTGTTGTCCACTCAGAGAGTAGGTGCGACTCCCTCTCATGTCTGTGTGGCCCTAGAATGTCAAAGAGGGCCAGCTGGGAAGGTGTGACAGCGTGAGTGTGTGGACAGGTATCAGAGGTCCCAAACCCAAAGTAACTTAAAACCACAATGGCTCTACAGTATGTTCTTTGAAAAATTTTTTTTAAATTTGGCTATGGGATCTTTTCAGTTAGCTCAGTTCAGCCGCTCAGTCGTGTCCGACTCTTTGTGACCCCATGGACTGGAGCATGCCAGGCTTCCCTGTCCATCACCAATTCCTGAAGCCTGCTAAAACTCATGTTCACTGAGTCAGTCATGTCATCCAACTAACTTATCCTCTGTCGTTCCCTTCTCCTCCGGCCTTCAATCTTTCCCAGCATCGGTATTTTTTTTCATTGAGTCAGTTCTTCACATCAGGAAGCCCAAGAATTGGAGCTTCAGCGTCAGTCCTTCCAATGAATATTCAGCACTGATTTCCTTTAGGATGGACTGCTTGGATCTCCTTGCAGTCCAAGGGACTCTCAAGAGTCTTCTTCAACACCACAGTTCAAAAGCATCAATTCTTCAGCGCTCAGCTTTCTTTATGGTTCAACTCTCACATCCATACATGATAACTGGAAAAACCATAATTTGACTAGAATCACAACAAACTGTGGAAAATTCTTAAAGGGATGGGGACATTACTTTGTCGGCAAAGTAATGTCTCTGCTTTTTAATATGCTATCTAGATTGGTCATAGCGTTTCTTCCAAGGAGCAAGGTTCTTTTAATTTCATGGCTGCAGTCACCATTTGCAGTGACTCTGGAGTCCCAGAAAATAAAGTCTCTCATTGTTTCCATTGTTTCCCCATCTATTTGCCATGAAGTGATGTGACTAGATGCCATGACCTTGGTTTTCTGAATGTTGACTTTAAAGCCAGCTTTTTCACTCTCCTCTTTCACCTTTATCAAGAGGTTCCTCAGTTCCTCTTCACTTTCTGCCATAAGGGTGGTGTCACCTGTGTATGAGGTTATTGATATGTATCCTGGCAATCTTGATTCCAGCTTGTGCTTCATCCAGCCCATCATTTCCCATGATGTACTCTACATACAGAAGGAAATGGCAACCCACTCCAGTACTCTTGCCTGGAAAATTCCACGGACTTAGGAGCCTGGTAGGCTATAGTCCATGGGGTTGCAAAGAGTCAGACATGACTGAGAACTTTACTCTACATACAAGTTAAACAAGCAAGGTGACAATATACAACCTTGACATACTCCTTTCCCAAATTGGAACCAGTCCATTGTTCCATGTCCAGTTCTAACTGTTGCTTCTTGACCTGCATAGAGATTTCTCAGGAGGCAGGGAAGGTGGTCTGGTATCCCCATCCCTTTAAGAATTTTCCACAGTTTGTTGTGATCCACACAGTCAAAGGCGTAGTCAGTGAAGAAGTAGCTGTTTTTCTGAAACTCTCTTGCTTTTTTATGATCCAACGGATGTTGGCAATATGATCTCTGGTTCTTCTCCCTTTTCTAAATCCAATTTGAACATCTGGAAGTTCTTGGTTCATGTACTGTTGAAGCCTGGCTTGGAGGATTTTGAGCATTACTTTGCTAGCATGTGAGATGAGTGCAATTACGCAGTAGTCTGAACATTCTTTGGCATTACCCTTCTTTGGGAATGGAATGAAAATTGACCTTTTCCAGTCCTGTGGCCACTGCTGAGTTTTCCAAATTTGCTGGCATATTGAGTGCAGCACTTTCACAGCATCATCTTTTAGGAACTGAAATAGCTCAACTGGAATTCCATCACCTCCACTAGCTTTGTTCATAGTGATGCTTCCTAAGGGACACTTGACTTTGCATTTCAGGATATCTGGCTCTAGGTGAGTGATCACACCATCATGGTTATCTGGGTCATGAAGATCTTTTTTGTAGAGTTTTTCCGTGTATTCTTGCCACCTTTTCTTAATTATCTTCTGCTTTTGTTACGTCCATACCATTTCTGTCCTTTATTATGCCCATCTTTGCATGAAATATTCCCTTGGTACCTCTAATTTTCTTGAAGAGATCTCGAGTCTTTCCCATTCTATTGTTTTCCTCTATTTCTTTGCATGGATCACTGAGGAAGGCTTTCTTATCTCTCCTTGCTATTCTTTGGAACTCTGCGTTCAGATAGGTATAGCTTTCTTTTTCTCTTTTGCCTTTTACTTCTCTTCTTTCTCAGCTATTTGTAAGTCCTCCTCAGACAACCATTTTGCCTTTTTGCATTTATTTTTCTTGGGGACGGTCTTGATCACTGCCTCTTGTACTATGTCATGAACCTCTGCCCATAGTTCTTCAGGCATTCTATCAGATCTAATCTCTTGAATCTATTTGTCACTTCCACTGTATAATCGTAAGGGATTTAATTTAGGTCATATCTAATGGCCTAGTGGTTTTCCCTACTTTCTTCAATATAAGTCTGAATTTTCCAATAAGGAGTTCATGATCTGATCCATAGTCAGCTCCTGGTCTTGTTTTTGCTGACTGTATAGAGCTTTTCCATCTTCAGCTGCAAAGAATATAATCAATCTGATTTCGGTATTGACCATCTGGTGATGTCCACATGTAGAGTCATTTCTTGTGCTGTCAGAAGAGGGTGTTTGCTATGACCAGTGCGTTCTCTCGGCAAAACACTGTTAGCCTTTGCCCTGATTCATTTGGTACTCCAAAGACAAACTCGCCTGTTACTCCAGGTATCTCTTGACTTCCTACTTTTGCATTACAGTCCCCTATGATGAAAACAACATCTTTTTTTGGTGTTAGTTCTAGAAGGTCTTATAGGTCTTCATAGAACTGTTCAACTTCAGCTTCTTCAGCATTAGTGGGATCTTTTCCTTGCAGCATATGAACTCTTATTTGCGGAGTGTGGGATCTAGTTCCCTGATGAGGGATTGAACCCAGGCCTCCTGCACTGGGAGCATGGAGTCTTAGCTACTGGACCACCAGCTATATGTTCCTTAAGACAGAGCACTTTAGAGTGAACATGGGTATAATTAGTAGTTACGTCAGGACAACAGCATAAACTGGGACTTCAGTGGGTAAACTGGGACACGTGGTTACTTATAAACTTATGAGGGAAGGTTAACCGCCCATCCTAGCACTCCTGTGAGAATAACTTCTGAACAACATCAGGAACCTGTAAGAAAGGCAGCATTGTTGAACATACATCCTAGTGAGAGTGATGCAATGTCATAGGGTGATCACATCCTCAGGTGGCAGAGGAAAACAGCCACATCGACAAAGAGATCAACAGACATATGGAACTTTTGTTTTGGAACAACCTTACTCAAGGCATCACCCTTGAACTGAAGTCATTAGGGAGAAAAATCTTGAATTCATTAAGTGTCCTGAGGAGACTTTGTTTCCCCTCAAAGTAACTGCACTGATGTAGGGCCAGCTCGGAAGGATATACGATAAACCAGGAAAATAAGTGGGATGCTGGAAGTGATGCTCAGAGGGGAAGAAAACGCATCAACAGGGGGAACAAGAAGCTGAGGATGTCAGCTCCAGCAGGGAAGTGTTCATCTTAGAATCCACACGTGCAGCCCTGGCATTCAGAAGAGTGACTGACAACTAGCAATTGTTCAACAAACATCTGTTCACTGATGGAAAAGTGAGAGGATTGGCTTGATATGAAGAGTGAGGTCTGGAGGAAGGCAAAACTCATGTCCATCCGAGGTAGGCTCAGGAATAAAACCCAAGCTTCTCAACTTCCAGCCTGACCTCCAGGGTCCGTGGGAATCACTAGACAGTCTTTGAGCTTCCCAACCTTCCATGCGTCCTCTGTGAATGCAGTTCCTCCCCTACCCCACCACTCTGCCATCACAGCCTGGGGGGCCCTGGAAGATCCAAAGGGAGCAAAGGTCCTTCTCCGCCCTCTCCAGCCCCAATTCATCCCTCCTCTAAGCTCTGGTTGCATGGTCAGTGCCGCGCGCTATGGTCTCACCTGCCACCAGTTCTTTCCTTTAAGCTTTTCCTGCTCCTCTGTCTTCTTCAATAGAATAGCAGCGGCCTCCATGTCTGTTTTCTGCCCACATAAGCTGGCCCAGCTGGGGACACATGCTAAGGTCTGGTATCCAAATACCTCTGTTCAGGCACTGGTTCCCCTAACTTCTGGGTGAGTACACAAATAAGTCTCTGGGCAGAGGTGGTGAGTGTGGGATAACACAGTAGGTGGAAGACGTGGGTTTGGTAGGGGTGCGGCCCCAGGTAACAGGAAGCACATTAACAGAAGTGGAGGGCTTGTAAACATTCCAACAATGAGACTGCAGGGTGGTAGGACTGGGTTGAGATATGTCAGCTGGTGTGGCACACAATCTGTTAACAGCCGCTGGGTCTCCAGCCAGGGCAGCTACCTATCCTTCCTATCAGAAAACCAAACCATCTCATCAGCCCCACAGGAAATCTTCTATCCGCCTCCCCGCACCATCCCCACCACCAAAGACATGGGGGTGGGGATCACGGTTACCTGCTTTCTTCTTGAATTCCCTTCCAGTTGAGAGGGAAAAGGTCAGACAACCAGAAGAGGCCTCGTAGACAAGCTGGTAAGGCGAGTTCACACCCATGGCTGGGATACTCGTAAAGGAATCTGGAGTGGGACACACAGGGACGTTGCTTTCAGTTTTTAATTTTAATGTTTTAACCAAGAGCACAATAATGAACTTTCTGTCCTAGTCATATGGTAGGCCAATATTCTAAAGTGCCCTGTTGTTACAAAACCACCTAATTCTGGAAGAAAAAGATTTTTACTGCTGGAGAAGGCTCAGAGTGATTAAGAGAAATCTTTAAAAGTCTCCTCTACGGTTTTCCCCCCTGCCTGGCCCCCAGTATCTCTCAAGAATGAAATATAATCAGAGCAGGGAAGAGAAGGCAGGCACAAAAGGTGACGTTACTCTAAGGATAAATGCAGATATAGCTGCTATACTAGGTCAAGAGACTAAACATGGGACTAGCTAGACGAAAATTTAGAGTTATCTCTTCCCCTTCTCCAAGTCACAGAAATCAGATGCTTCTGCAACAACAGATCAGTCTCTTGCAGAATCACACTGTCATGTACAAAATCACTTGACAGCAGACCACTTAAGAATTAAACTTTAGCACCCCTTTACTTGTGGAAAATCTTGGTCATTCTTTCACAAACTTCATCAAATCATTTGCTTATTCTTCCCCCAAATACAGTCATTTCACATGTTGGGCATGAAACTGTCGGGAAATGTCAAGCAATTCATCACAGCTCATTCAAATTCATAAAGAAAATGGCAAACATGGCCTTCTAAATAGACAAAACCTGTACCCAGAGACTGCACATTGAATGATACTAACCAAAGACAATCACCTTCACTGGTAACCCAAAGCCGGAAATTAGGACCACATGAAAAGAACTAATAATAGCCAATGCTGAGAAAGATGGAATAAAACCAGTCAGTCCTACTGGTGCAGAGAAAATTCATCAAGAAAGCAATATTTAACAACAACTGTATACATCCTGAGACCTTCTGCCCAGTAATCCTCTCTCCTGGGAGAGTAATCTTAATAACCAACACAACAGTGATAAGAACCAATATGCATGAAGTTACATATTACAATGCATATTATACTAATAGCAAGAAACCTGGAAGCCTAAGCATTCTGTTAATTATGGAACATGAACATCAGAAGAACTCTACACTCAGAGTGACAACTGTAAAGGTATAGCCATGTTGGATTACACTGTGTCTGTTAATTAAAGGAAACTGAAAAATAGAAAAATTATAGTATTCTTAGAAAAATATATACACATACACAAATACACACACAGAGAGAAGAACCACAAAGGGAACTGCAAAAGTAAAAAACTAGCTATTATATAAAAGTGGCAAGACTACCTGTTTTCTTTTTGCTGTTTTATCTCTAACATGGCCATCAACCGACAGTCAAGGAGCGGTCCAGTTGCCTTTCCTGGCATGTCAGGACTCACGGGAGAAGAGACAGGGCGCGATTCTATCGCTAGGGAGATGCTGCCTTAGCAGTGGGGAGGCTGTAGTTACAGCGCTCAAGGAATACCACTCCAGACTCAGTTACAGCTTGGGTCTACCTCAGCCATTAGCGGGTCCAGAAAAGCAAAATTCATGCAAAACAAATCAATAGGCATCCGAATCTTCTTTTTAAAGTGCTCCGAGGGTGAATGCTTTCCCAAAAGAAACAGACTGCTCCCTCATTTATATTTTGTCACTCAGAGTTTCTTTTCAAACTCTAGGTTTATTTGAAGGAGCATCAGGAATAGACGTGCCAACAAGTGAGAGCGGTTTCCTGGGGGAGCGTGATGCAGGGGAGGCCTGCTCAGCGCTCCGCTGATGCAGACAGACAAGCATCACCAACTGGCTCTCTGCAAAGTCTCCTCCAGCAGGTTAACCACAAGCCGTGAGGGAAGCCACTGCAGCACAGGTGAAAGCCTGTGACCCTGAGAGAAGCTTCAACACCCTGGGAGGTGGAGCGCTAAAAGGATGACTGCTTCACTCTCAGGGTTGGGGAACACAACATTCAGGTGGGAGAGCGCAGCTCGCAGGTTTGAGGGTGGGTGGCTGGGCCAGGGTACCTGTTCCCTCCCAAGGACTCGCCTACCCACGTGACAGACCATCAGGCAGCTGTCTCCCAAATGAAGCAGAGTTGCAATGGAGCGGAGCACCAAACCTCATGTGGAATGCAGCGTGCAGAACTCCATGTCTGCTGGCAACCTTCTGCATAAACAGGGCATAATCATAGGGCCTGTGTCATCAGAGCAGAGCTGACCCTGAACACAACGGGCAGAGTGCATTCTCTTAAAGCAGAAAGAAACCCATGTGTGTGCACACTCAGTTGTGTCTGACTCTTTGTGGCCCCATGAACTGTAGCCCGCCAGGCTCCTCTGTCCATGGAATTTCCCAGGGAAGAACACTGGAGTGGGTTTTCATTTCCTCCTCCAGGGGATCTTCCCCACCCAGGGATCAAACCCATGTCTCTTGTGTCTCTTGCAGTGGCAGGTGGGTTCTTTACCACTGTGCCCCCGGGAAGCTACTTCATGGTAAACAGTTGGGGTAGGCTTGATCAGGGCTTTACCTTAGGAAAGGAAACCAACGTTTATCAACATAGCCTTCTCTAGCTCATATTTACCGTAAGTCCACTGATATTGTAAGCACATGCCTAATTCTTATAAGAAATAAAAACAACTGTCGGCTTTTTCAGATGGTGTGATTTTTTTTCCTGAATGGTTGTATGACAGCAATAAATCATGAGTCCCATCACATCTGCCTTTTGCGAAAAGGTCCAAATTTGTTTGTATTGTCAACCCTTTGATATCCCAGTCATCCTTTCTCCATGAAGCAGTCGCCCTGGACAACTCTCCTGCCCTTGGCAGTAACTAGTTTTGCTTCTCTGCATCACTCACGGGTGGCTTCATGTGGATAACCAGCAGCTTTCTAACATCATTCTCACTGAGTTCATGAAATCCCACATTTCCCCCCAAGCCTTGCAATTTTACTGTGTAATTTATTTGCCCTGTGTGTTCATGTACTATCATCAGATGTTTAGCCACTGACCATCAAGGGAAGCCTGACAGTCAGTCAGAGGACAGGGAGAAACGCTAAAAAGGGGATGGATTTTATAGGCTAGGGCAAATGATTATGGGTTTTAAATTTATTATGCTTCCCCATCAAGGTTCCTAACAGCGACAACTTTCAGGCATTTGAAATGAATACCTCTATATCCACCAAGCTTAAGAGATACAACAGTACAGATGTGACTAAACTGCTGTCTCTTAAATCATAGCTGTTCCCTTTCCTGCTAGCAGAGATCACGTCCTCTAGTTCTGTGTCTATTATTTCAGGCCCTCTGATTATTCCCATTCAGCTTTGGTCCTTATACTTTGTATAATGTACTCAAAAGCAGTATGCTATAATTTTCTTATTTTACACTTTGTTTAAATGGCATTATACCAAACGTATCCTTTTATAACTTTTTTTTTTTTTTTTTTTGCTTAACACCATTTTTTGTTTATCTGTATTGATATGTGTCCTTCGGTGCTTGATTCATTTTCACTTCTCATTATATTCCATCATCTAAAGACTGTAATTTTTCTCTTGTTGATGAACATTTAGGTTGTTTCCATTTTTTTTTTCCATCCCAAACAATTCTGCAATAAACATTCTGATATGACTTCTTATAACATGTATGTGAGTTTCTTTAGGGCAGTGCAATTCTCAAGTGTGGCCTGGTATGAATCCACACCAGGCCATGACCAGGTGAATACAGTAAATGAGAATAAACATTTAGAAGTCTATGTACCAATCTGATGTTCCTGTGACAATATCATGTTTGGAAACGGGGTGCTAAAGGGACTGAAAATTTTACAAAGTGGTCCATCACCACAGAGCGTTTAAGAAGCACAGCTCTAGGGAATGACTCAGCAGAGAAACTGCTGGGTGGTAAGATGTTACAGCACTCCCCCCTCGCAGACACCACCACCCTGTTCTCCACGGGAATGGCACCAATATGCACACTCACCTGCAGCATGTGAGAATCCCCGCTGCTTCGCATCCACCTCAACTCTTGGAAACGTCAAACGTTTAAGCTGGGGACTTGACCTTTCCACTGCACTCTTGTTGGTATTGTCTGACCTTTCACCTAAGAGCTGAGACTCAGGTACCCACCTTTTCCCATCTGTCCAGCACTGCCACAGTTTCTCCCAATGGTGCCAAGCAGGAAGTCAAAAGCCATCTCTTTGGCATTGAGGTGCAGGAGCTGGCTGGCCTCCACGAAGCGCTTTGTAATGTCCAGGGGGTTGGCACCTACTAAGAAAGTCATCAAAGGCAACTACTCACTTTTCCCAGCATGGGGAAAGTGCTTCTAGAAAAGGACTTCCCTAAGTGGCCCTGGAAGTAAGAGGGGGTGAGGAGGTGTGAGGGTGCTCCTAGCGAGAGGGCCTTGAGCTCTGACGATCTCTGGGTGGCCCCTAGGTCTCTGCCCCCTTCCCCCCTCCCCACCCACAGGCTGGGGACTGATGCTTCTGTTGCTGTTGTTCAGTTGCTCAGTTGTGTCTGACTCTTTGCCGCCCCGTGGACTGCAGCATGTCAGGCTTCCCTGTCCTTCACTGTCTCCCAGAGTTTGCTCAAACTCATGTCCATTGAATTGGTGATGCTATCTAAGCTGATGCTACTGGTATTTAAAATAACAGCACCCAGAAGGTTTCACCAGTGATGAGTCCCCAGGTCCCCAGTAGTGGGATGAGAGACCCTTATCGTGGACAGACCCCGGTTCTCACGACTCTCCTGGTTCTGGCTACCAACCAGCCCTCCCAATTCGCCCCCTCCTCCTGGGTGCTGCCTCTGTCTACCACTGCATCATTTCCACAAACTGGGCCCTTCAATACCTCGGACCTCACACTGTGCTCACTGTCAACCTCTCAACCTGGGCTTGGCAAAGCTGGAGGGATGGGAGGACAAAGTGGGGAACAGAGGGGGAGGGAGATGGATGATTCCTGGGGTGGTCTCAGGAAGGAGTTGACTTGCAAAGCAGACCCTTGGCTGCCACCTCTCCACAGCACGTCCTTGTAGACCTGTCTGGGGAGGGTATGGTGGACACACACACCCAGGCCAGACCCTCCGGGCCCAGAAAAATGAGCCACGCTTCACAGAGCCAGCCTTGGCCAACTTACCAGACACAGACTCCAGCATGGCCTTCATCTTCAGGCTGAGGAGCTCGGTCAGCAGGTGGATGGACTGCCGTTGGAACCTGTGCAGGGTCTCCTGGCTGGACTGCCTGCGGCGGCCGTGGGTGGGAGAGTGCGTGAATTTGGCCGGCCCAGTGGAAGCGGGCAGCATTGGCAGTGGGAGCGCTGGTGGGAGCAGCTTCTTCTGGATGGGGGCCTGCACAGGAGCTGATTCCATAAGCACCATGGGCGGGGTGCCAATGCTGATCTCCAGGCCCAAGATGTCGGAGGGGGTAGGGACCATGGGGTCGGTGATCAGCTCCTCCCAGGTGAACTCAAAGATGTTTCTGATGCCCTTGGGTACAGAAATGCCTGCGTTCCGGCAGCCAACGAGCAGCCTGGAGACGTGGGCCAGCAGCTTGGGGGCCGTGGCGGTGTACTGCAGGTACAGTTCTCGGTTACTCTTGATGTCGTTCATGGTACTAGAGCACGCATACTGCTAGGTGATGCTGTCCATTCTAGACAAGAGGGACCTTCAGCTGTAAGCAGCTAGACAGCCTGAGGGCTGAATGGGAGCCTATGTTCTCACCTAAGGTCAGGTCTCGGGACAGATGGACGTGCTGAAATGGCCCTTACAGGTCATAGAGCCGGTGCATCCTATGTGGGAGGGTAGATGTATCACTGATCACTCTCCCTGGCAAAGGGATGCCACCCCCACCCTGCTTCCCTTCCCAGGGACATGTCAGAGACCAACTTAGTGAGTCACAAGGAGAGGAGCCTGGGGATAAGCAAATTCCCCACATGGACCCTGGGCTGGAGGAAGGGAAAGGAAGGGGAAGGGAAAAGGTTCCATGGCACCTCTAGGAGTCAGAGATCTGAGGATGGAAGTTCTTCTTCTGGTCTCTCAATAAAAACCTGCAAAAATAAAAAAGATGTTTCACTGGTCCCTGTTGAGGGAAGGTGACGTGGAAAACTCCCAGCTGTGAGGCAAGGAAGGGCCTGGATTCAACCTGTATCTCCAAGGGCAGAGGGGAGAGAGCAAGGAGGATGAGTTTTTTAATCCAACGACCAGTATCACTTAACCACATCTCATCAAATCTAGAACTTCAGGCAACTCCCACTACTGAGCCTTCTCATCATCAGTTCTACCACCGGACACCCTGACAAGCGCTCCCCACGTCCACGCCCTCGTCTCCTGCCAGACAAACGTCACCCTTTCACTCCTCACTCTGTGTCCTTGGGAGCCAGCCCTAGTTCGCCATTCCAGAACCGCACCCCTGGTGCAAACCTTGTGTTTACAGTACGCTGCCCTGGTGTGATAAGGCTATTATCACTCCGGTTTCACCAATGGAGGAATTGGAGGCTTATGGAGACGGAGCTCTCGGTCGGGAGTTGTCTGTCTGCAGACTCTTGGCAGGGAGACCTTTCCAAACATGACTACCCCACAGCCTTCCAGCTGCCTGCCCATCCGTCAGCAAGGAAATCTCCAAGGAACAAGGGTGCCATAGAGCAAACCCTTCTGACATTCTGCTGGTCTGCAGATAAAGTGGTTTTCTACATCTATTTGCTGACCCTCTGGCAGCTCCATTCCTCAGCTTTGGAGACTCAGAAAAATAGGTTCGTTTTTGAACTGATAAGTCTACAGAACAAAGAGACCACTCAGAATTGTGGTCATCTGGGCAACCAGCCAGAGGGATCTGACCCTAGCAGGCAGGGCAGATCTGTTTTAAAGCTAAGACTCAAATGAAGAGAAGACGAATACAATCTGTGAAATGTTCACTGGTTTGAGGAACCCCATCCTACCCCCTACCAGTTCCTTTCTTGTGACATTAATTTGGAAGACATGCCTTACAAACAGATAAACTCTGGCTTTTAAAAGTTTTATTGAGATACAATTCACATACCATACATTTCACTCTTTTCAAAGTGTACAATGGTTTTTAGTATAGGCGCAGTTGTGCAACAATCACCACTAATTTTAGAACATTTTCATCACCCCCAAAAGAAACCCATTAGCACTCACTCCATTCCTCCTCCCCCCAGGCAACCACTAATCTGCTGTCTGTGTCTACATATCTGCCTGTTCTGGACATTTCACACGGATGGAATCATATACTCCGCGGTCTTTTGTTAACTTGCTCCTTTCATTTACAGTCACGTTTCTGAGGTTCATCCATGTTATGCAAGTGTCAGTCCTTCACTCATGTATCTCATTATATGGAGAGGCCACAATCTGCTGATTCATTCAGCTTGACGACACTTTGGTTGTTCCCACTTCTGGCTGTGACGAACAGTGCTCCTGTGAACATTCAGGTACAAGCTGTTGTGCAGATGGAGGCTTTCACCCTCTTGGGTTGGAAGCCAGGAATGGAACTGCTGGGTCATACAGTAACTCAACGTTTAACATTTTCAAGAACTATCAGGCTGCTTTCCAAAGTGGCTGCACCATCCTACAGTTCTTTTTGCAAAACCAGTAATGTATGAGGGTTTCAATTTCTCCATGTCCTTGTCAATGCTTGTCACCATATTGTTGTGATTCCACTGACATCCTAGAGGGTATAAAGTGCTATCTTATTGTGGTTTTCGTTTGTACTTCCCTAGTGACTAAGGATGCTGAGCATCTTTCTGTGAGTTTATTGGCTACTTTTGTATCTTCTTTGAGGAAAAGCCTTTTCAGATTGAAAATTTTTTTAAGAAATGTCATTTTAAATTAAACGCACAAATAACTTCCATTTGTTACCATATATTTTTCTCTCTTCAGAATTCAGCTGGGGGGGGACCACGTGACTCCGTTCTGGCCTGTGAAAGGCATGTGGAGCTGCTGGGTGGGGCTCCTGCTGACATCGTGGCGCCCCCACACCAACGCTTAACCACCTGCCTCCAAACGTGTGTCACATGAGGGAATGAACCCCTCATCTCTTGAAGCCCCTTTACTCGGATCTCTGTTCCTGCAGCCAAATGTGATTCCTGCCAGCCAGCCAGTTGCGCGGGGAGAGCATCACTCCATCATATCCCTCATATCTTATTTTCACTGTCACTTGTTCATCTTTCCATCACTGAGACATGTGCCTTGCCCTCAACAGTCATCAGGAGAACAGACTTGCAAAATCTGTATCATAAGGGTCACACCACCAGAAGAAAAAAGACAAAGGCCATGAAAACCCAAAGACAAAAGCCTAAAGGAAGCTGCACTGAAGGCTGTCAGAGAAAACAGTAAGAAGCCACCAGGCAGGTAGGGAGGAGAAGGCATTCTTGGTAAAGAAGAGAGTGTACAAAGGAACAGAGACATTTAAAGCATGGCGGGTTCAGGGAACCACAGAACACTCAGGATGCTTGGGGCTTGGGGCTCTACGGGGATGCAGCAGACAAAGCTGAAAAAGTGTCTAGAATCAGATCCTGAAGGGCCTTATATGCCATACCAAAGAATTTGCATGTTATATCATTATCCTTAGTACAAGTACTCTAACGTACTGTCTTTGATCGCCAGTTGCCTTCCACGTGGTCTCTGCAAGCCACGGCAGGCACCATGTCTTCTTCCCCTTTTACAGTCTCCATGACTCTCAGTAAGACACAAGTAAGCTGCCACGTGGCAGAAAGTGAAAAATGTTTACAGCATCAAAGCCCAACAGACAGCCTAAGAGACCCACAGAGACAGCTACACACAAAGCTGCAATGAATGGTTCCCACAAGGAAGTGCAAAGAGCATGGAAGTTTATAACGGATATGAAAAATGACCACCTTCATTCCAGCATCTTCAAAGTTTTTCTGCCCATCTCCTCTGTCCCAGGCCAGGGGAAGGACAGAGATGAGGGGCACACACATGGCAAATCAGAGTGCTTTCTGCCAGGGAGAAGGAAAACCCAGAAAAGGCAGTGTCACCGGGTGGCTAACAGCTCAGTCCCCATGACCTCAAGCCTGGAACCAGTGGATTCTAGACCCTGCTTCCCAGGACTATGAGGATTAAATGAGGTCACATGTGTGAAGGGCTGGCACAATGCCTAGCAAAGTGCTCAGTGAATGTTAAGTAGAAAAAGATGATTATTTGAAGCAGCTGAAGAAGGCTGTATGACGGAAATGACGGAAACTGGTCCACAAGTTGAAGCTGACTAGTGAGCAAGGACAGGAAGAGCACTCCAAGTGATGGGAACAGCCCTGGTTCAGGCTGGAGGCTCTAAATAGCCTGGCAAATTTGGGGAATGCATGTAACTCAAGGATGCCACAGGTTATCGGCAGGGTTGGGGGTGGGCAGTGGCCTGCTTAGAGGAGCTGGTATAAACTGCTGAATGTGGACTTCATCTTGCATGTGATGGGAAACCACGGAAGGACTGCAAGCAGAAGTGGCATCTCTACAGAGGGCGCTCCTCCCGGGGGGCCGGCAGTGTTGGGGGGCGGAGTGAGACATACAACTGCAGTGGCATTGGCCGAGGGGAGCTGTGCCCACAGCACCCCGACTTCTGCATACAGTGAAAGAGCACCTCAGAAGGCACAGACCCAGTGAACTCCCAGGGGTATACCATGGAGCGCAGCAGAACACGGGTGAAAAGTGGGAAAGTCCTGCGCAGGCTCTGGGAAAAGCAAGGGCACCTGGCCAAGGACACCGAGGAGGAAGTTCAGGCGTGGACGTGAAAAAAGAGAAGAGGGCCTATCTCCCTCTTGTTAGTGGCACGGACTCAAGAATACGTTTCAGGGTAGAAGTGGTATCCAGCTGTATGTTTAAAAACAAAACTAAACTCAGCCCCCTCAGGTGACCTGGTCCTGGCTTTCTTTGCTCTTTTCTCTAGTTTCTCCTCTCTTTAGTTTTAACCAGAATGCTTTTGGTAAGGATGGTGAGCAGTCCAGATGTAACCGTGTGACCACCATCTGTGAGTAAATGCAGCTTCAGGCTGGGACAGGCAAGAGGAAAGAGGCGGAAGTGGAAACAGGAACATTAACAGACACTGTCCTCTCCACTCAATACATAAAGAACATTCTGGTCAGATGTATGAACTCTCTAGCAGATGAGAGGAAGAGGGGCTGAGCTATGGAAGAAGTGGATGTGAGAGGAAGCAGAGTGGGGCCACATGCATACGCTCAAGCTTAACCGCCTGCTGCCGGCAAGACTTACTTGTGAGACTAGAACCTTGCAGTCACCACTTGTCATCGAGTGGAGCTCACTTGAAAACCACCTCCATCCCCCACCAGCGGTATCTACTGGGGCACCAAAGGGCCCATGAAGATGAGTCTCCCAGAAAGACTCATCCAGAGACATGAAAATGATCAGCCCTTTGACCCAGTGATTTCAGTTGTGAAATGCCCAAGGCAACAGTTTTAAAAGAAGGGACGGCAGCTGTATATATGTAGTTAAGCCAAACAAAAAAATGCTTACAGTCACTTCATTCCTAACAGTGAAATACTGCAGAGAGCCAACAACTGAGGGAGTGCTTAACGACAACGTAGATTCACTTGAACCATTAGCCAGCGAAAAAATAACCGAGTTTG